ATTAAAAAATGTATCTTTTGTATTGAATCAGTGTGGGTGCATCACTGATTGTTCCTGATCTTCCAATAGACATAAAAAGAATCTCCTGGTTTATTACTACAATTAATAAATTGTCCCAGTAAATTCTCAAAACTCCTACATCTCCTTACTCACACCTTTAGACAAAACCCTGTTTAATATTCTATTAAAAAACACTGAATTCAAACTTTAAGCTGTTTTCTAAGACTTTCTACAATACCAATCAAAATAAATGTTTTTACAAAAAATGTGATATTTAAATAATGTCCTTTATGTTTCTCTTTATGTATTAAAGACTGAATTTCCCTAGTTAAAGTTTAAGTACAAACGTAGCTATTCATTAAGTGATTCATTCTTTTTCTTAACCCTTTGGGCCTAGTGTTCAATTTCTATCTCTCCAGATTAATAAGTGCTACAGTTACATCTTTGCACTAAGTGGCCTCTGGGGTCATTGCAAATACCTGCTGTTAAAAGCAGCAGAGATTAGAAGACGAATTTCTTGTCCATCAGGTTTGTTCTGTGCCTGAAGAGCACAGTGAATAGATTCAGGTTCCAGGTAAGTGGGTCACTGATTTGTATTTCAAACATGCACAATTTAACTGTTAACTGATACCTGCAACTTGCTGGTTTTTATTTTCTTTAAAAAAATATGTTGATCTCATTTGGCAATTCAGTTTATGCTATTAGAATTAGGCACACTAACTTTATCCTTTTCTTAAGACCACATTAGAAAGATTTTAAAACCACAGGTAAGAAAGATTGAGGTATAAAGTCAGATAAGAGACTTAAGTCATTGAGAGATTTCAAGCATACAGTATATGGTCAATATCTTAATAAATTAAATTGTTAGAATTAAATTATCTTAACATATATTCACATCAGTTTTACATGTGCCACATTTTGGAATTTTGTTCACAGATGCTAAAGTGAATAAGTTCTATTTGTCAGGTTATTTGTAGTTATGTTCACATTGAAATTCACATTAAAGTGACTATATTAAGCACTGTCTTATTTTATAAAAGAAACATAACACATGTCGTTTGGCTTTGTTCTGATCTTTATTGCTGTCTCTGGTAAGTCATTACTATGCACAGAAAACACAATCAATAAGGGATTTGTTAGAACAGTAGTGAAGATCAAGGAATAACTTTTTTTAATAATATAATCAACAAGTGCCACAGGAATCGGGTTTCATGAAATCAACAAATAGAAGTATGGTTTTCAATTCTACTTGTCTGTCTGTTCATTTTGTTTTAAAGGACGTATAAAACTCCTTTCTTTTCTTACTGAATAGAATTAGAAATCAGTCATTATGATTTCTGTCATTTCAGTGTTAGCTCCTGTACTCAGAATCAATCTTTCAGTTATTATCAAAGAAACAGTGAATAGCCAGTGATAAAATTACATCTCTTCATATACAGTAAGCATTCCCTGATCAGGTGGTTCCCTGGTTCTGTGGTAAACTTATGTCTTCTAGGTTTTCCCATCTAATTTCTATTTTTTCAATGTAAGGCTTATTGATTTCTGTTTTCTTTTTTACACATATTTATAAACTTGATTTCTTCTCTGAAAAGGTCAAATGTTATGATCCAGTACCTTTGCCAATTTCTGAAGTCTAGAAGTGCTCTCATTCAAATTTTGCCGGAAATGTAGTTAATTGGACATCTTCTGAATGATAATAATTATGGATCAACTACTAAAAGCTGTTTAGTTAGTAATAACAGAAACCAATTTGAGGAGAGGCTGTGTAAAGCTCTTTTGACACTGTGGGAAAAATACCCTTGAAGTTAGAAATGTTGACTTCAGACTAACTGAAGCCAAAGTTAAATATAAGTCTAAGCAAGTAGGCATATCAAATCATCAATTAGGACTGGACAATTAGCACTTTAACACCAGTGTTACTCTGGGAGCAGGGCTAGGAACCACTGCCGTGTTCCAAACACTGTAAAACTTTCTATTTGATGTGTAATTTGTAAAAAAATTGTCATTGTCATTTAAGTAAAGATGCAGTTTTTTCTTAGGAGGATTTTGTTCAAACACACAACACATTCTTCTGTCAGACTGAAGGTCCTGTGCATGGAGTCCACATTTAAGATAAAGCATTAATGACATTGCATACAAATCAAACTGATAATCATTCAATTTGTAATACAAAGGCTCATCTGCTCCATTTGCTTTGTGATGGTATTGGAATCATTCAGTAATACAGAGGGCTGGTTCATTATGCTGAACCAAAATAAAAGCAGAAGGTCTTGAATAGAATTGAGTCTGTTATAATATTAACCTCTGTAGGATAGTTGAGTTTCTTAGTGGATGAAGTGCAGATCTCTGACTTGTTATTGAGTTAAATAATTTGCAACTAGCAACATTCTTTGCTAGAAAATAGCAAAAGCATCTAGCATACAACAAAATCCAGGCAAACTTGTTTAAAAACAAATGTACACGGCGAAACGCATTGTGACACACGATGATGCGCGATACGTGATTTGTTGACCGACAGGGGCACTTGTGGTCCATTGGTCTGTCGTAGAAAGATTTACAGTAAACATCTTTACTGTGCCCGTTGTAGTATTGAATATTTATATGGAATTTTACCACTGAAGGGAAATCTTAGTAGCTGAGCATAAAAAGAATAGGAGCCTACTGTAACGCCTGTGAAGGCCATAAACTATATTAATTTTGGAACATAAACATACAGTACATGGCTGGTATTGGTACTTTAAAGAAAAGTATTCCATTTCTCCCTAAACATTTTAAGCATAGAAGTCTTTAACTAACGAGATACTGGAGTCAACAAGCATACTTTAAGAATTTGATTAAAAGGGAATATAATATGGAATCACGTATCTAAAGAAATTAATAGCGATATAATTATATTCAAGTACCGCAACACAAGAATAGTACCACGAGTGCCCCTGTCGGTCAACCAATCACGTACCGCGGTACCGCGCGTCATCGTGCGTCACAATGCGCGACGCCGTAGCCAATTACCTCCAGTACGTGTCTGTACCACGCACTTTGAATGGCTGCATCTGTACGTAGAACTAATAAGATGATTAAGTTTATGCAATTAGAATTATGTAAACTTAATTTTAAAATGACTCGGGATTCTTATAGTTTTGACCTTCTCTTAAGACAACTGAAAGATTTTAAAAACTCTAGTAAGAAAGGTTAAAATATAAAGTTAGACATGGGACTTGCTTTTAATGCTGCCTACTGGGGATGCTTTATAATGTTGAGATTTCCAGCATATTCCCAAAGATTTTCCCAAAGCTCTTTTAGTATATTTCATCATTGTCTTACAATATTTAATTGTGAGCATCCAATTCTTTTAAGAAATTAACATTTTTTGACAAATTTGAAGAGAGTGTAGTTTCAAAACAGGCACATTTGGCATATTTTGTTGGAACCAATCCTGTTCAGATTTATCAGACATCAAAATGAGTAAATTCAATTGGAGAATTTGGTTGTTCTTTGTGCTTGTGTTTACAGTACATTGAAATATCTCTGGGGGTTCATGTGATTTTGATTAGTGAAGCAGAAAATGAATATATTAACCACTGTCTGACTTGATGAAAGAAATATAATAGATGTGTTGCATATCTTTATTTTATCATTGTAACTGTAGGTCAATTATATGTGTAAAACAAAAAAAAA